AACCAAAAAAGAGCCACTGTGACTAAACAATAAAGTAAAAGAAGCAGTGAGAGGCAAAAAGGCATTCTATAAAAACTGGAAGTTAAATCCTAGTGAGGAAAATAGAAAGAAGCATAAACTCTGGCAAATGAAGTGTAAAAATGTAATTAGGAAGGCCAAAAAAGAATTTGAAGAACAGCTTGCCAAAGACACAAAAAGTAATAGCAATTTTTTTTAAAGTACATCAGAAGCAGTGGGGTCACTGGATGATCAAGATGCTAAAGGAGCACTCATGGATGATAAGGCTGTTGTGGAGAAACTAAATGAATTCTTCATGGTTGAGGATGTGAGGGAGATTCACAAACCTGAGCCATTCTTTTTAGGTGACAAATCTGAGAAACTGTCCCAGATTGAGGTGTCATTAGAGGAGGTTTTGGAACAAACTGATACACTAAACAGTAATAAGTCACTAAGACCAGATGGTATTCACCCAAGAATTCTGAAGGAACTCAAATGTGAAATTGCAGGACTACTAACTGTAGTCTGTAACTTACCATTTAAATCAGCTTCTGTACCAAATGACTGGAGGATAGCTAATTTGATGCCAATTTTTAAAAAGGGCTCCAGAGGTGACCCCAGCAATTACAGGCCGATAAGCCTAACTTCAGTGCCAAGCAAACTGGTTGAAACTATAATAAAGACCAAAATTGTCAGACAGATAGATGAACACAATTTGTTGGGGAAGAGTCAACATGTTTTTTGTAAAGGGAAATCATGCCTCACCAATCTCCTAGAATTCTTTGAGCTGGTCAGCAAGAATTTGGACAAGGGGGATCCAGTGTATTTAGATTTTCAGGAAGTCTTTAAGAAGGTTCCTCACCAAAGGCTATTAAGCAAAGTAAGCAGTCATGGGATAAGCGGGAAGGTCCTCCCATGGATTGGTAACTGGTTAAAAGATAGGAAACGAAGGGTAGTAATAAACGGTCAGTTTTCAGAATAGAGAGAGTGGTGTCCCGCAGGGGTCTGTTCTGGGACCAGTCCTATTCAACATATTCATAAATGATCTGGAAAAAGGGGTAAACAGTGAAGTGGTAAAATTGGCAGATGATATGAAACTACTCATGATAGTTAAGTCCCAGGCAGACTGCAAAGAGCTACAAAAGGATCTCTCAAACCTGGGCGACTGGGCAACAAATGGCAGATGAAATTCAGTGGTGATAAATGAAAAATAATGCACATTGGAAAACATAATCCCAACTATACATATAAAATTATGGGGTCTAAATTAGCTCTTACCACTCAAGGAAGAGATCTTGGACTCATTGTGGATAGTTCTCTGAAAACATCCTCTCAATGTGCAGTGGCAGTCAAAAAAGTGAACAGAATGTTGGGAATCATTAAGAAAATGATAGATAATAAGAGAGAACATATCATATTGCCTCTATATAAATTCATGGTACGCCCACATCTTGAATACTTGGTGCAGATGTGGTCGCCCCATCTCAAAAAAGATATATTGGAATTGGAAAAGGTTCAGAAAAGGACAACAAAAATGATTAGCGGTATGGAGTGTCTGCCATATGAGGAGAGATTAAGACTGGGACTTTTCAGCTTGGAAAAAAGATGACTAAGGAGGGATATGATAGAGGTCTATAAAATCATGATTGGTGTGGAGAAAGTAAATAAGGACGTGTTATTTACTCCTTCTCATAACACAAGAGCAAAGGGTCACCAAATGAAATTAATAGGCAGCAGGTTTTAAACAAACAAAGGGAACTATTTTTTCACACAATACGCAGTCAACCTGTGGAACTCCTTGCCAGAGGATGTTGTGAAGGCCAAGACTCTAACAGGGATCAAAAAAGAACTAGATTAATTCATGGAGGACAGGTCCATCAATGGCTGCTAGCTAGGATGGGCAGGAATGGTGTCCCTAACCTCTGTTTTCCAGAAGCTGGGAATGGGCCACAGGGGATGGATCACTTGATGATTATCTGTTCTGTTCATTCCCTCAGGGGCACCTGGCATTGGCCACTGTTGGAAAACAGGATACTGGGCTAGATGGACCTTTGGTCTGACCCAGAATGGCCATTCTTATGTTTTTACGTCCTCTTCTTGATTCACTTTGTTGAAACTTCACTTTCCGTATTTCTTCCACAGGTTTCGGTTTCAAAGAACAGCATTATATAGCTAAGCACATATTTCTTTTGCTGGTCCAGAAGTGCAGCTTTAGCACTGTAGTTGAATAACAACAACAAAATCACACCAATAATACTATGGATAGTACAATGCCCATATTACCCACAGATCACTAAGGGTTACATCCACTTCTCAGAATTGCAGCACCTAGCTTTTAGGCACCCTACCACCCCATGGAACCCTCAGCCCCAAATTAGGCACCCAGTGTCCCTAGCCAATGTATGAGGAGAGTTAGGCATCTAAGAAGGGAATTCACACTCCAGCAAGCTGATCTATAAATCACCTAAGCTAGCTAGTAGAAAATGCCAGGGATGGGGGTGTGGCTTAAGCCTCCCTTGTCAAAAGTAATTAGGCATCTCCTTCCTCTCAGGAGTCACAGCCACGAACTCTCTCCTGGAATACCGTTCCTAGATCAGGTCGGCCTTTTAGCATGAAAAATCACAAAGAGAGACTCATCCCATAATCCAGTGGTTAGGGTACACATCACAGATAGGGGAGACCAGTCTGCTCTGTCCAATTTGGAACAGGGAGTTGAATTTGGATCTTTTCTATCCCAGTTCACTGCCCTAACCAGACTATTGAACAAGTGATTCTCTTCTCTTGGAGCTGTTCCATTTTATATAAATAATTAGATTTTCACTGGTGCAAGAACTAAGAACTTGGGGCTAGATTCACAAAGGGTTGTGATGCTGATCATCACAATGCCTAACTTTTAGGTGTCTAGAAAATCACAGTAACACTGATTCACAGAGCCTGTTCATCACCTAGGGCTCCCTACAACATGAATGGAGAGAGATAGGTGTCTTAGATTGCAATTCACAAAAACCAGCATGATAGGCAGAGAGCTGCCTATGTTAGCCAGCTGGAGATGCCGAAGACAGGTATGTCCTTAGGCACCTATCTTCAAGGCTGGGGTTAAGTCCAAGCTGCATGGAGACACATATCTTTGCTTGCAGTCCACAATTGGAAACCCCTCCTAGTGAGGTGGCTTAGGAGCCTAAGATATATCATTTTTTCAGGCATCTTGCTCCACAAAAAATGTCTAGAGGAGGCCCACATTGTTACTTTTAGCCTAGTGATTAGAGCTCTTACTTGGGAGGTCCAGGTTCAATACCCTCCTCTACCTGAGATGGAGAAAGGATTTGAACAGTGGTCTCTAGCATACCTCAGGCAATTGAGCAAACCACTGAGCTATGGGATAGTTCAAGAGTTATTGGGTTAGCAAGAGAGAATGATTCTGTCACATGGTGGTTAGGGCACCAACCTGGGAAGTGAGCCCCCCCAGGGTCCAGTCCCCCTGTTCCAATGGTTCTTCAATTATTTATACACAGTGGAACAGCTTCACCAGAGAGATTGAAAGAGCCACACACCAGAATATCTCACTGAGCTAACTCACCAGATTTTGAATGGGACCAGATAGGGACCTTTCCTGTGAAATAGGCAAGTGAATGCCTATCTTCCCTGGATCACTCAGGTCTTAGGTGGGAGATAGGCATCCATGTGCCTTGAGTGGGGCAGCAGGTGCTTAGGTGCTAAGGGAACTTTTACAGCAGAAAGGAGTTATGTGAATAGTGGTGGAGCCTAAGACTGGGATTTAGGTGGCTAAACCTCAGATTTAGGTGACTAAATCAAGGATTAAGGCACCTAAGTACCTTTGTAAAAAGAAAAGGAGCACTTGTGGTACCTTAGAGACTAGCAAATTTATTTGAGCATAAGCTTTCGTGAGCTACAGCTCACTTCATCGGATGCATTCAGTGGAAAATGATTTTCCACTGAATGCATCCGATGAAGTGAGCTGTAGCTCACGAAAGCTTATGCTCAAATAAATTTGTTAGTCTTTAAGGTGCCACAAGTACTCCTTTTCTTTTTGTGAATACAGACTAACACGGCTGCTACTCTAAGTACCTTTGTGAATCCCATGGTTGGTCTCCCACTTCTCAGGGAATTCCCTTATAACTGGGATATGAAGTTAGTTGCTCCCTCTCTGGCCCTATGAATGTTTGTTCATTTATACAGTGGAACAGCTTCAGGAGGAGAGCTTTTCCCCTTCTATCATATAGAATACCCAATAGCTCAGTGGTTAGGGTACTCACTGGAGATGTCAGAGACTTGGGGCTGGCACTTAAGCCCAGATCTCACACATCCCACTTGAGTATTGGGTATTCTAGGGGATAGCCCTGCCCCAGTAATTTTTTGGAGAGGCTCAGTTTGGTAATGTTACTCCTGTTTATTATTCATCTATACAAATAGTGTATAGGGGCAGAAACAAACAAACTAGCCTACCTCAGTACAGTGCATTAACTGATAAAAGTGCTTAATTTCATTTTTCCTTCCATTTATTTTATTTTCCTTTTCTTCCAAAAGAAGTCATCAGTCAACCCTTTTAACTGAGTGATGGAAACTAAGTAAGCTTCCTACCAAGGCTGGGGGATGGCTTTTTCTGATCAAAGCTGTTTAGGATTATTTTTAAGAAACACTTTTTAAAATATTTTATTATATTAATGTGATCTGAATGTTGCAAGATATTTTTTGTTTTCAGATGACAAAACTTTTGTAAAGTATCTGAGAACCCAGAGGTTTAATAGGAATCTACAAAGAAAACAAACTATTTGACCCTGAGTTACCAATTAACAGTATCTCTCTGTGTTCTAGAAATAAAGAAGAAAATTACAAAAAAAGGGCAAGAGAGATAGCTCCCTCTACATATCAATCATTCCCAGTATTGGTTTTAAATTGCAAAACCTTACACTCATAAATTTTGGGTGATGTAAAGTGATGAAAGCTCCACCTCTTTTCCAGAAATCTTCAGACTCTCCTCGTATAAAACTTGTAGAAGAGCCAGGCTCTGAATTATATAAAGTTTTTTCCCCCTATTCGTTAAACAGGAGGATAAAAGAATACCACACTTTGTAAGGATGTCAAATGCTCAGTCATTGGATATCCCTGAAGTTCTTAAAGAAGATGACAGACCGAAGTGGGATAATAAATTGCAGTATATTTTAAGCTGTGTTGGATTTGCAGTAGGCTTGGGAAATGTTTGGAGATTTCCATACTTGTGTCAAATATATGGAGGAGGTAAGAGCAAGTTGGGATCTTTGTCAGAAATTAAACATAGAATACTAATTTAACGGTATATATAAAGCATGAATGGGCAGGGAAAATATGTTAATATCTAATATTCTATTTTTGCTTTTTTAATGTAACCTTTTCCACAAAGTAGAATAGCTTTCTCACTGTGTGAAAATTATATTTTAAAAAGATATATTGATTTAGGAAATGTCCACAAACTAGGAATACTTTACAGTAATCATGAATTAGGAAAAATCAGTGTTAAAACTTTTTGCAAACAATTTCTCATTATTACAGCTGTGCCATCAGAGCAGATTTAAACTTGGTTCTATGAGCTGAAATAAAAAGTGACACTTTGGAAAAGTGTCTGGAAGGCCTTTTGAAAGCTTCCTTTCTTTAGGAAAATTAAACCAATTGCTTCGTAATGCCATGCCTCATCAAAAGACAACTCAATTAAAATTCTAAATTATAAGTAAAATAAAATTGTATTTTAAATATATATCTTTAAATTATTTTAAGAAATGTTTGTTCACTATTGGATATTAAAGGTCTGAATACAAGTTGAAAAGGGCAACTGTGTTGACATAATGTACTCATACTTCTGTGAGGCATTTGATTTTAGTATTGCACAATTAATACTACACAAAAATAATGTAGCCCATATTAAGTGGATTCCCAACTGTTAAAAAGTAACTGCACCTGGAGAATCATCATAAAATGAGGTGTTTTTTGTGGGGTCACACAGGGATTTAGTTTTGGGCAATGTTATTCAATATCTTTCTCAATAACCTGTGTAATGCTGATGCCTTTGGGTTGATCATCATCCTCATCAGCGAATCAAACCTAGGACTTCTGGATCTTAATATCCACTACTACCTCAGCTGAAAGATTCAGCTATCCTATGCTAAGGCTGTAGAAGGCTCACCAATGTCTGTGTGATTTAGTCCCCACCAGAAGGGAATATAGTGCCACGGTGAGTGGACATGGCTTACATCTGGTAAATGTATAAAATCCATGCCAGTACAGTTTGCAGATGACACAAAACACGGAGTGTTAAATGAGCAATCAGGATTGTTTGGTAAACTAAGTTTAGCTGAATAATATGCCTTTTGGTAGAGCTAAATACAAGATCAGACATCTGAGAACCAAGAATGTAGATCACACTTATAGGATGGGGGTACTCTGGAAACAAGTGGCTCAGAAAGCTATTTAGGTGGCATGGTGGATAACTAAGTGAACGTAAGCTTCCAATGCAATGTAGTGTTTAAGAGTATAAACACTTGGAAGTATAAGCAGAGAACTATCAAGTAAATGTAGGGAGGTGTTATTACAACTAAATCGAGCATTAGTGAGACCATTTTTGAAATGGTATGTATGACGGGTTGGATCACAGAAACCCTCTTGGGGCTGCCAACTGATGTGCCAAGACTACTTCTTCCCCTGTTTTCCCGCCCTGGCAGCTTGGGACTTGAGTGCCCTGCATGGTTTGAGCCAGACCCGCTAGGCTGCTTCAACCCAGGCCCAGGTCTGAACCATGTCCCCTAACAACTGTAGGCTTAATTGAAAGCAGTTTAAGAAATGTTCCTGTCTTTAACACTCAGATGCCCAACTACCAATGGGGTCCAAACCCCAAATAAATCCGTTTTACCCTGTATAAAGCTTATACAGGGTAAACTCATAAATTGTTCCCCCTCTATAACACTGATAGAAAGGTATGCACAACTGTTTGCCCCCCCCAGGTATTAATACATACTTTGGTTAATTAATAAGTTAAAAGTGATTTTATTGAATACAGAAAGTAGGATTTAAGTGGTTCCAAGTAGTAACAGACAGAACAAAGTGAATTACCAAGCAAAATAAAATAAAACATGCAAGTCTAAACCCAATACAGTAATAAAACTGAATACAGATAAAATCTCACCCTCAGAGATGTTTCAATAAGTTTCTTTCACAGACTGGATGCCTTCCTAGTCTGGGCACAATCTTTTCCATCTCTCTGGGTCCCGTCCCCCCCAATGGAAAAGCACCAGGTTCAAGATGGACCCCAGCACCAGGTGACATGGCCACATCTCCTGTGAGACTCCAAGCCTTCATTCCTCCTGCCTGACTCACAATTGTCCTGGCTGATGGGAGCCATCAAGATTCCAAACCACCACCAATGGCCCACACCCTGCATAATCACAATAGGACCTCAGAGCCACACTTCACACTTCCAGCTTCAGACACAAGAGTGATACATTTACACAACAAACAGGATGACCACACTCAGCAGATCACAAACTCTGCAATGATACTCCACAAGAGATCCTCCACACGAAGCACATTCCAGCCACACCACATCCACACTCACCAGCACACCTTCACAGAATCATATCGAGTGCAACATCACAGTACGCACACCTTTTAAAAAGTAAGCCGAAAAATTCGAAAGGGTGCAAAAATGAGCTACAAGAATGCTTCAAGGTCTGGAAAACCTGCCTTACAGTGAGAGACTTAAAAAGGTCAATACAGTAGCTCACAGAGAAGGTTAAGAGGTGACTTACTGATGATTTATATGCAAGTAGTAGGTGTGATGGCTAGAAGCAGAAACTAGACAAATTTAGATTAAAACATTTTTTTTTTACAGTAAGGATTGTTAGCCATTAGAACAACACCCCAGAGATATGGTGGATTCTCTGTGATTTGAAGTCTTTAAATCAAGTCTAGATATCTTTCTAAAAAGATATGCTCTGGCTCAACCAAAAGTTATGGGCTTGATTCAAGAATCACATTGAAATTCTATGGCCTGTGTCATGCAGGAGGCCAACCTATGTAACCTATCAAATTAATCAGCCTCTGACCCAGATGACTGGAGGATAGCTAATGCAACATTGATTTCTAAAAAAAGGCTCAAGAGGCAACTCTGGCAATTACAGACTGGTATGTCTAACTTCAGTACCAGAGAAAGTATTGAAACTATAGTAAAGAACAGAAATATCAGACACATCGATGAACACAATATGTTGAGGAAGAGTCAACACACCTTTTGTAAGGGGAATTTTGCCTCACCTATCTATTAGAATTCTTTGAGGATATAAACAAGCATGTGGGCAAGGGTGATCCAGTGGATATATTGTACTTGGGCTTTCAGAAAGCCTTTGACAAAGCCCCACACCAAAGACTTGTAAGCAAAGTAAGCTGTCATGGGTCAGTTTTCACAATGGAGCAAGGTAAAACTGGGTTACTGGACCACAAAATAGCATACGAAATTCAATATTGATGAGTGCAAAATAAGGTATATTGGAAAATATAATGCCAACTATACATATAAAATATTGGGGTCTAAATTAGCTCTTATCACTCAAGAAAGAGCTCTTGGGTCATTGTGGATAGTTCTCTGAAAACATCTGCTCAATGTACAGCAGCAGTCAAAAAAGCTAACAGAATGTTAAGAAACATTAGGAAAGGGACAGATAATGAAACAGAAAATATCATAATGCCACTATATAAATCCATGGTATGCCCACACCTTAAATACTGTGTGCAGTTCTGGTTGCCCCACCTCAAAAAAGATATTTTAAAATTGGAGAAGGTATAGAGAAGGTCAGCTACAGTGATTAGGAGTATGGAACAGCTTCTATACAAGGAGAGATTAAAAAGAGTGGGATTGTTCTGCTTAGAAAAGAGATAACTAAGGGAAGATATGACAGAAGTCTATAAAATTATGAATGGTGACAAGAAAGTGCATAGGAAAATGTTATTTTGTCCCGCAATAACACAAGAACCAGGGGACATCCAATGAAATTAATAGGCAGCAGATTTAAAACTAACATAAGAAATTATTTCTTCACACAACACACAGTCAACCTGTGGAACTTGTTGCTAGGGGGTGTTGTGAAGGCCAAATGTATAACTGGTTTCCAAAAAGAATTAGATAAGTTCATGGAGGATAGGTGCATCAGTGGCTATGAGCCAAGATGGTCAAGGACACAGCCCCATGCTTGGGTGTCTCTAAACCTCTGATTGCCAGAAGCTGGGACTGAACAACAAGGGATGGATCACTCAATAATTGCCCTGACTTGTTCACTTCCTCTGAAGCATCTGGCAAGGGCCACTATTGGAAGACAGGATACTGTGCTAGATAGACCATTGTTCTGACACAGTATGGCTGTTCTTATGTCCTTAAAAATCTATGAATCTTAGTTATTTTATTATTTAAAAATGAACCAGAATATTATTTTCCCAAGTTTACAATAGCAGTACTTAGCAATAACATTTAAAAATCACTTGTGTGGCAGTGATTGAATAATTTTTTCTCTAATGAATCATATCCTGCCATGGACTCTTATTGGCCTCCAGCTTGAGTTTTTCCCTAAATGGGACTCAGACACCAGGCTAACCCTTTGGGCTTGGTTCCATCTCAGTTATGGGGAGAAAAAAAATGATTCAATACTCATCCACTTGTACACCAAAATGTATGATCTGTCAGTGTACACTCCGTTACCCTTCATAACTTCCTTTCCTTTCTTACATGCTTTGATAAACTGGGAAAAAGTATCATTCACACCTGCATTAACACTCAAATGAATGGATCCATTCACACCTCAGAGGTTTTGTTTCAGGCTCACTGCAAACATCACTGTATTGGTTACACAGGTCACATCTAAAAATTTATATTTCTTTCTTTCTTTTTTCTTTCTTTTTTTTTTTTTGAAGAGAGACTGTTCACAATCTGCTGCAAGGAAAAAAAATAACATCTTTGTCCTGAATTGAACTAAATCCAAAGAAAATCTTTCAGCTGAAATACATTTTCATATGCCTCTGCATTTCATGGTTCAATTTTGGACTAGAAGCAGAAGTGTAAAAATGTTATAAGCAAGTCCGTTATTCTGAGATTTATAAACCAATTTTTCAGATTCCAAATTGAACTTCTAAACCTTTTGTTTTTTGCTCTTCACTAATTTAAACATAATTAGGACAACTATGAAAAATGGCAGAATTATAAACTTGCATAAATGTCAAACAAT